AGGGAGCCATCAAGTTGACTTGAGTTGATGGCGACACTAATGGATGTCTGATGTCGTTGGAGAAGATAAAGGCCTCGTATTGAGATATCATACTTGTACCATGAGTCGAGCAACAAGTTCACCGACATTGAAGACATCCATGTTCGTTCACTCACTATGCCATCCGATAGTAGTGTTCTGTAACACACTACTACTACTAGTCGAACTACGGACCGATTTGCATGCTCCAGAGTTTATCCAGCTTGTACGTGTCTGTCAAAAGCTCAGTCCCTGGCGCTATCGTGCCCGCGTAGTCCTTTAATACCATAAACGTGGCCTCCGAATGGAAAGGATCGTTCTTACAGAAGACTTCCCGAAAGGCGTCAAAACGTTTGTCGTCCGGTATCCACATATTATCGTTTCGGTGACCACCCGGTCGTTCTGTAGTATCAATGACCATATTGCCGACTGCTCCTGGAGGAGCGACGTTGATTAGGCATAATGGTTCGATCTCTGGGCACGTATAGAGAAACGCACCATGTTGAGCTCTTGAATCCGTCCCCTTCTCGATGACCTCAAACGCATAAAATGTGTACGACGTTGTCGGCTGACACCATCGCTCCTTGTGGTCCCGTCTCAAATACTCAAGACACTTCTCATGAATACCCCAACTGCTCAAGTTGCCAGGCAGAAGAACGCCCTTGATACCTCGGAATGAGTCACATGCGCGTAGTGGTAAAAGAGATACAAGGCCTCGGCCAGCCCCGGGGATATTCGAGTCGATGACCTGAAGGTGTTGCTCTCTGAGGTCCTTGAGGGCCCGTTTGTAATATGCTGGATATTCTTTAAGGAGCTTGGATGCCCCGACGTCATCAGGTAGCTCAGCTGCCGTCTTCCATGCAGCGACGTAATGGCGACCGTCTTGTCTTGCACGCCCGGGACTGTTGGATGCGGCTGCCTGGGCGTCTTCATGAGCCTTCTTCATGCGGTCACTGATTTCGCTACTCTTGCTGCGCTGCGCAGTCCGATATTTGTTCTCCATAAAGCTATCGGTAAGTTGCACGAACTCATGCGTCGGATCCAGCTGCTTCAGGGCGTTGTACCGCGGGCCGTATAGGCCACACACAGCCCCGCTCCGGGGCTGTGAGGTGGCTGGCTAGATGCTGTGTGTATGTGTATCGTGGTGCATGTCTCACGCCTATTTGCAGTGTGAGACATGCATTTGTTTGCAGTCAATGAGCGTTGTTCATTGGCTTTGCATGTTTGTGTTCCCTTTTGCTTGCTTGGTATGAACTGAGGCTTAGACGAACTTCGTCGCCCGTTCTATGTGTTTAACCACATTTCCAATTCTGATATCATCTATACCAGCAAAAGATGAAAATAGAGTAACTACATTTGATGCTGTTCATAAACATACAACGAATCAAACTTATACATCTGCTGATCTACTTGAAGTACTTATGCACGTCGGCGAGCACAACCGCTCCCATCCCGAAGTAGGCGGCGGGGGCGATGTTGATGGTGGGCTTTTCGCCTCTTGCGCTTCTCGCTCGCCTCTTTCGTTTGTGTACGTGTGGACTTCGGACATCGTGTGAGGCCACTCGCTCTGCGCGTAAACCGCTCCCCCCCCTTTTTCAATTGCTCTGCGCGTGAACCGCTTCCCCCCCCCTTTTGAATTACTTCCGATGAGGCTGTAGTTGGTTATCTTGTGCTCTGAATGCAACTGGGCCTGACGTTTTTGCTGTGGCTCGCCCAGTAGGCAAGAAGCATCCGATCGGGGTGCGTTACTATCCGTTGTTCTCTGTTCGCTTCCAAGCTATGTAGCTCGACACACTGAAGCAAGGCGAGTCAGTGAGGTTGGTGAAGCAAGGCGAGTCAGTGAGGTTGGTTGGGAGAGATTCCCTTCCGTAGAAGCACTCACCGCGCCCATTGGCTTTACTCACTAATGCGCTGACTCTGCCTGCCTCGTGAATGATGGTTGGGAGCGTGCTTGAGATCGGAAGAGCCACCTCGAGATCTGCTGGAACACACGCAACGTGACAGCAATGATGTCTTGACGTGTCCAAGCGGAACCGCATCGGAATCAGCTACAGAATTGCTGCACTCGGCCAATACCGCTTCAGTGTCGGGGTCCGAGTTGAGGAGGGAGGCGTGCCTCTCGTGCGTCTGTGACGGTGAAGAGATGTGATTGGCTTTCACGGAAGCATGGGCGACCAGCACGTCTGATCTAGAGTCAATATGGATTTGCACACACACACAAAGGCACAGGCAATCGCAGAAACACAAGCGCATCATACGGCATGAATGACATCAGCAGTCTGACACAAACCGAACAGCCCATCAAACGCAACAACATATGCGACTATCACACGCACTACCAAACCACCATGCAACCCAAACCCGACCCATAACCCCACGTTCCCAAAGCAATCTCTCACGGCCGGTCCTGGCAGGCAAACGTGCGGCTTTGTGCCCTGTAGGGCCCTCGAGAGATGAGGTCCTCAGGAAACAGACCTGCCCGTTGCTGTGTCCGAGCATCAGCCGCGTGATGTGCGCGGCAGGACACTTGAAAAGCATTCCAGCGCATCAGCGCGACCGACAAACACTGCCCCCAATGGTTCATGACACCCTCATGAGAAAATACACGGTCTTCTGCAGAGCTGGCGGTTGGGGGGACGCGCCGTCTCGCCAGGCGGCGGAGCAGAGTGAGGGTCTCGCCACCCCAACGGCCGAACGTCTCCGCCGCTAGAGGCACGAATGTGTAGCCCTTCTGCCGGCAGTTGGCACCGTACTTGCGATCTTTGTCGCGCTCCGCCCCTGCAGCTGCAATGCCGCCCGGCCGACGTGCGTGGCTGCGGTTGACTTGGGTGTGGTGGGCGGTCGAGTTCTCGGGCCGACACGGGTGGATCACCGTGACGTCGCACAGGACACCTGTGCCGTCTATGGGGAAGAAGAGGTCCATGCGCTGACTGTTGGGCTGGGCGTTTGGGGGGGTGATGTCGAGGGACCGCAGGGGCACTTCGGTGACCGCCGTAATGCCCACCTCTGCAAGGATTGCCTTGAAGACGTCCAGCAGGGTGTTGTATTTGAACACGCGCTCCGCCGTTGCGCGGTTGCAGAGGAAGAAGTGGTCGCCTAAGGCGTCGATGTGCGCTCCACACGTGCATGACGGTGCGAGGCTGGCGAGGGGGAAAGTGATGCCCAGGGTGAGAGCCGTAGCCAGGCGGTAGGCGTAGTTGTTCAGGCACTTGCGCTTGTCCCCTCGGGTATATGCGGGGATGGCCGACAGCCAGCCAGACGACAGAGGCCCCAGGCAGGAGAGAAGACGGCATCGATCACGGCTGCCAGCCGGGAAAGACTCAAAGAGGGTGTCGAAGTCGGTGAAGAGCGGAGATGATGGGCATGATGGACGACGGCCTGGTGATATGGACGTGCTGACGACGATGGGCTGCTCGATATATGTTATTCTTTCCCCTTCCCTCTACCTTCCTGCCTTACTGCGTTGGGATGGGCACGACAAAGAGCAGCTCGAGATAGCAGCGAATGACCAGCACGTTAGGACTGGAGAAGCAGAGGCGAGAAGAGGAGTGGAGAAGATGACATGCAGAAACGAGAAGAGGAGCGTACCTATCCTTCCACGACATGATGGCTGACTATGTCTGTGCATCACAGTGAATGAATGGGGATGGGAGAGGTTGTGCGTTGGTGTTGGGAAGGCAGACAGAGGGCATCTATCTGGGGAATAACGTGTGCCTGATTGTCCTATCGCCTAGCATCGACTCACTATCTCTCTCGTCTTTGCTTGCTTGCTGTGTGCGTGAATGCAACTGGGCCTGACGTTTTTGCTGTGGCTCGCCCAGTAGGCAAGAAGCATCCGATCGGGGTGCGTTACTATCCGTTGTTCTCTGTTCGCTTCCAAGCTATGTA